TCTCCAGTGGAGAAGCGCCGACGAATTTGAAATTCATAGAAAATAATTCTCTATTCTACAGTAACTTGGAATTAAAATTCCAAATTTGATATTCAACTAATAGCGAAGCTGTGGGCACCTTGAATTTTACAGATTTTGCAGAAAATTGTTCGTTTCTCGTTCAAGACGAGTTTCAAAGTTTCCACTGGGTAAATCAACAGGCTACACTTCACCCTTTTGTGTATTACTACAAGGCGGACACTATAAGAAAATGCCCAAGCTTGTGTATAATCAGTGATCGTGTAAAGCACGATAGAGCCACAGTTTATGTGTTCCAAAAATTTCTAATCGCCGATGTAAAAGGAAATGTGCCTTCAGTCAGGAAAGTTATTTGTTTCAGTGATGGCGCTGGAAGCCAATATAAAAATGAAGAGAATCTTTCCTGTTTATGTTATCACTATGAAGACTTCGGACTTGAAGCAGAATGCAACTTCTTTGCCACCTCGCACTGGAAGAATGCCTGTGGCGGTATTGGAAGCACCACGAAGAGGCAAGCAACGAAAGCCAGTCTTCAGGGAACTCATTTTAATCAAATCATGTCCCCGCTAGAACTGTAAATATTCTGCACACAAAATATTCCAGGGATAGTTTACATTTTTGTGCCAAAAGAGTAAGTTGCAAGAAATGAAATCATTCTAAAAAGCATGATCCAAAAGTGCAAAACTGTGCTCCACACAAGAGAAAACACCGGGTCGTCCATCTGGAGGAAGACATGGTCAGGTGTTATAAAATATCTAAGTTCGATGATTTCGAAGAATTCGTGATAGTGGACACTTACTGAACTGCGTGTACTTTCAAAGAAACTGGAAAATATTCATCGGAATACACAAAGAACTAATACCATTGGATGCAGGTGAGCCAATTGTTGAGGTATTGATTTCTTTTTTGGTAAAATTCAAAGTGCCCACAACTTCGCTATTACTTGAATATCAAAGTTGTAATTTTAACTCCCAGTTACTCTAGAATAGAACATTATTTGCTATGAATTTCAAATTTTTCGGAGCTTCTCCACCGGAGATATGAGATGTCAAAAATGTCCGATTTGGGGCACAGAGCAAAGTTTGAAAACTTATGGAAATTTCTGGAAAATAGGTACGAGGTTCAACCTACGTGATTATATTCCCCATGTACGAAACAACAATCGGTAGAAACCACAAATCTGATACTTTCCCCCTCCCATTGGTTTTTGAAGGTCAAAAATAGCGTTTCACCCAAAATCGATAGGTAAGATTCGAGCTTAATTAGACCTAGAGGAAGTGAGATGAGTGAAGCCTTGTAATGCCATGATTTATAGTCCATATCATCAGGAACAAATTAGTTTCTTATTGGAGTCTCTAGCTTCAATAGTTATAGAGATATGGCAGATAAAGCAAACCTCCATTTCAGCCGAAATAGCATTTTCGCATTACAGAAATTTCGCTATTAGTCGAATATCAAAGTTGGAATTATAATTCCAAGTTACTGTAGAATAGAGAATTATTTTCTATGAATTTAAAATTCGTCGGCGCTTCTCCACTGGAGATATGAGATGTTAAAAATGGCCGATGTTGGGCCCAGAGCAAAGTTTGGAAGCTACTGGAAAATTTTGAAAAATAGATACGTGGTTTAAAACAACGTAATCATATTCCTCAAGTAGGTAGCAATAAAGGGTAGAAACCACAGATCTGATACTTTTCCCTTCACATTAGTTTCTGAAGGTCAAATTTAGCGTTTCTCCCAAAATCGATAAGTAAGATTCAAGCTTAATTAGACCTAGAGAAAGTGAGATGAGTGAAGCCTTGTAATGCCATGATTTATAGTCCATATCATCAGGAACAAATTGGTTTTTCATTGGAGCCTGTAGCTGCAGCAGTTATCGAGATACAGAAGATAACGCAAACCTCCATTTGAGCCGAAAACGCGTTTCTTCGCATTATAGAAACCGAGCGGATTACAAATACTTTAAAAATACTTTTAAGGTGTGAAAATATGTAGAAATAAGTGTCCAAATCTAAATTTTTTTCAAAATGGTGACAGACCTCTCTGGATGACTTCACATGGAATGAACCTTCTGGGATATAGCGCTGTGTAGGGTCTGAGGTTCTCACAGCGGTGGTTTTGAAGGATTCTATCTTCTGGGTTGTAACGTTGAGTGCAATCTGAGGTTCCCACAGCGGTGGTTATGAAGAGTACTATCTTCTGGGATGTAACGCTCTTTAGGGTTTGAGATTCTCACAGCGGTGGTTATGAAGAGATCTATCTTCTGGGATGTAACGCTGTGTAGGGTCTGAGATTCTCACAGCGGTATTTGTGAACATTTCTATCTTCTGGGATGTAATGCTGTGTAGGGTCTGAGGTTCTCACAGCGGTGGTTATGAAGGATTCTATCTTCTGGGTTGTAACGTTGAGTGCAATCTGAGGTTCCCACAGCGGTGGTTATGAAGAGTACTATCTTCTGGGATGTAACGCTCTTTAGGGTTTGAGATTCTCACAGCGGTGGTTATGAAGAGATCTATCTTCTGGGATGTAACGCTGTGTAGGGTCTGAGATTCTCACAGCGGTATTTGTGAACATTTCTATCTTCTGGGATGTAATGCTGTGTAGGGTCTGAGGTTCTCACAGCGGTGGTTATGAAGGATTCTATCTTCTGGGTTGTAACGTTGAGTGCAATCTGAGGTTCCCACAGCGGTGGTTATGAAGAGTACTATCTTCTGGGATGTAACGCTCTTTAGGGTTTGAGATTCTCACAGCGGTGGTTATGAAGAGATCTATCTTCTGGGATGTAACGCTGTGTAGGGTCTGAGATTCTCACAGCGGTATTTGTGAACATTTCTATCTTCTGGGATGTAATGCTGTGTAGGGTCTGAGGTTCTCACAGCGGTGGTTATGAAGGATTCTATCTTCTGGGTTGTAACGTTGAGTGCAATCTGAGGTTCCCACAGCGGTGGTTATGAAGAGTACTATCTTCTGGGATGTAACGCTCTTTAGGGTTTGAGATTCTCACAGCGGTGGTTATGAAGAGATCTATCTTCTGGGATGTAACGCTGTGTAGGGTCTGAGATTCTCACAGCGGTATTTGTGAACATTTCTATCTTCTGGGATGTAACGCTGTGTAGGGTCTGAAGTTCTCACAACGGTTTTTGTGAACATTTCTATCTTCTGGGATGTAGCGCTTTGTATGGTCTGAGGTTCCCACAGCGGTGGTAATGAAGAGTTCTATCTTCTGGGATGTAGCGCTTTGTATGGTCTGAGGTTCCCACAGCGGTGGTAATGAAGAGTTCTATCTTCTGGGATGTAGCGCTTTGTATGGTCTGAGGTTCCCACAGCGGTGGTAATGAAGAGTTCTATCTTCTGGGATGTAGCGCTTTGTATGGTCTGAGGTTCCCACAGCGGTGGTAATGAAGAGTTCTATCTTCTGGGATGTAACGCAGTGTAGGATCTGAGGTTCTCACAGCGGTGGTTATGAAGGATTCTATCTTCTGGGTTGCAACGTTGTGTGCAATCTGAGGTTCTCACAGCTGTGGTTAAGATGGGTTCTGTGTTCTGGAATATAACGCCCTGCAGTCCGTTGAAAGTCAACCGATGTTTCGGAAGGACATGTAGCTCCAGCTTCATGGTATAAGAATAAGCCGAGCAAGGAACCAACGTGAAAGCAGCCGAAAAGCATCCTCCGAAACTTCAGCTGCTTTCAACGGACTTAACTGCGTTATATCCATGTGCAGAGCTTGCCCACCTAAGGAACTATGAATCCTGGGATTTAAATTGGAATTAGTTGTTTCAATAAGTTAAATTTTGGTGCAGTTCTCTTGTATGCGGACTCCCACCCAATGGGTAATTAGTTACGTATCAATGACAAAAATAACCTTTAAAGTTACAAAATGAAGTCGCATCCTAGAAAAACAACGGAAACTATTGAAGTATTATTTCAANGCGGTGGTAATGAAGAGTTCTATCTTCTGGGATGTAGCGCTTTGTATGGTCTGAGGTTCTCACAGCAGTGGTTATGAAGAGTTCTATCTTCTGGGATGTAACGCAGTGTAGGATCTGAGGTTCTCACAGCGGTGGTTATGAAGGATTCTATCTTCTGGGTTGCAACGTNGTCTGGGGTGTAACGCTGTGTAGGCTCTGAGGTTCTCACAACGGTGGTTATGAAGTTTCCTATCTTCTAGTATATAGCGCCGTGTAGAGTCTGAGGTTCTCACAGCTGTGGTTAAGATGAGTTCTGTGTTCTGGAATATAACGCCCTGCAGTCCGTTGAAAGTCAACCGATGTTTCGGAAGGACATGTAGCTCCAGCTTCATGGTATAAGAATAAGCCGAGCAAGGAACCAACGTGAAAGCAGCCGAAAAGCATCCTCCGAAACTTCAGCTGCTTTCAACGGACTTAACTGCGTTATATCCATGTGCAGAGCTTGCCCACCTAAGGAACTATGAATCCTGGGATTTAAATTGGAATTAGTTGTTTCAATAAGTTAAATTTTGGTGCAGTTCTCTTGTATGCGGACTCCCACCCAATGGGTAATTAGTTACGTATCAATGACAAAAATAACCTTTAAAGTTACAAAATGAAGTCGCATCCTAGAAAAACAACGGAAACTATTGAAGTATTATTTCAACCAAGCTACATATATTTCGAATTGAAATACGTGAAAATGTGAGGAAAAGTTTGTGTATAAGTCCCAAACACCTTTATTTTAGACTAGACTTTCTTTTATTGCTAGTGGGGTGGGAGTAAGCCCCTTGTACTGCGGCCAATTCTGGCCTATTTTACCAGCCCAGATGATAGGTGAGGGTGACTGTGGAGCAATTTGTGGAATGAAGATTGGTAGGGGACACCGAAGTACTCGGAGAAAACCTGGTCCAGCGCCACTTTGTCCATCACAAATCCCACTTGACCAGATCCGGGATCGAACCCGTGCCCCCCGTTATTTGGAGCCAGCGACTAACCGCTTGAGCTATGGCGCGGCCTCTAGACTAGACTTACTAATCACTTGAATAAGGGGGTAAATTTCCTAGGCTCAAACATATTGAAGCTTTTTGGAGGTTTCGCTCGCTGTTACTTACAAGAGGAGCCATTTCACGACGTCGTCCAATCCTTGGAACACTCTTCGACGCTTTCAGGAAAAAATTATCATATTCGCTGCGTCTTCCTATTCGAGGGACACTTTTGGACGCCTTCAAGAAGAAATTAGTTCCCGTTTCTTCCGCCGAGATGGCACTGGGGCAAGCCGTGAGGACCATGAGTATGGTGATCGCCATTATCACCGGCAAACCTGGAAATATTTAAAGCATTTCTGAACTGCATTATACTGAATAAATGGAACACTGATGTGTGATATTACCAATGCCCCTTTTGTCCATCTGTATCTAGGAAAGAACTCAAGAACTGCTGAAGGCATTTTCTTTAAATATAATACTGGGGCTCCTTACTGAACTTAGTAGAATTATTTCAATATTCCCTGAAGTCAGACAAAAATAATATGCTCTTTATATGTAGACCTACATGTAATATGGGCTAGTCTTGAGCGTATCTGTTGGAGAGGAAAGTGTTCCGAGCAGAACTTGCAGAGGAGGGTGAAGTACATATGTATATCCAACATAATTCTCCATAAACCTCGTGGTTTTGCAGGATTTTAAACAAGAATTGTTACACTTTGTACATACACGTATTTCCTACTTGTGTATCTTATCAAAAATGGAATTCCGAACATGATTACCGAACATACAACAATGGTTTTCAGAACACGTGCTAAGATTACCGAACATACAACAATGGTTTTCAGAACACATGCTAAGATTACCGAACATGCAACAATGGTTTTCAGAACACATGCTAAAATTACCGAACACTTTTCAATTGTTCTCGATAATAATTATATAGATATTATTGGTCTGTGTGTCCTTTTAATCTAAACACAATTTTATGTAAGAACGTGAGTAGGTTCATGCGCTTATCCGGTAAAATATTTCGAATATTTGAGCGTGGGTATAAGTACAGTATTTTCCTTTCTTCAGAGAGGCTATTACGTAAGGATGATAATAGTGAGTGTTCAGTTACAAAAAAGAAACTCTAGTCATGAGCCTCAAAAGCCTTGGCGCCGAGACAAACTTACTGTTGGTAAACCGCCATAGCTCAAGCGGTTAGTCGCTGGCTTCCCACTGCGGCGGCCTGGGTTCGATCCCGGGTCTGGTCAAGTGGGATTCGTGGTAGACAAAGTGGCCCTGGGGCAGGTTTTCTACGAGTACTTCATTCCACCAATTGCTCCACAATCACCCTCACCTATCATCTGGGGCTGGTACAATAGGCCAGAAGTGGCCGCAGTACAAGGGACTTAGTCCCACCCCACTAGCAATAAAAAAGTGACTAACTAATACGTCATTTGTAATGCTTTCCGTAACAAACGCGTATGTTCTGTTGGTACGTATCTACGAGCTTGTTTAGAAATATGATAAATTTCAGTTCGAACATCACACAAAGTAGAGATTATATTTGAATGAAAATGCAGTTCATCTTAGAAATATAGGGAAGATTTTGTATACCAAATTAAATTTAATCGAAATTATTAAGTTTATTTGGAAATTTAAACTTACAAATGGACGAGCATAGAATGTGATGATTTTTATAGTCACATGTTTAACTTCTTACAATTAATTCACAGAACCATGAAAACAGTTTCAGTAAGAGATCAACTGCAGCCCTGGCTGGGGCTAAACAAAACAACTCTGCCTAGAACTAGTCAGTGTTTACAACTCGAGAAACTATAGAAAAATTCTTGAGATAATTAATCAAGATCGAAAAAGGAAAGTCACTAAATTGGAGACTTAAAAATCAACTAATAAACTCTTCTCTATTATGTATTTTGGTTATGAGAACCAAACCTGTTATACAATCATTTGAACTAAATCACAACTTAATTCAAATTCTATCACTTTGGTTGTGATAACTTGTTCTTCTTTTCCTTCTATAAAACTCTGAACAACATAACCTACGAAGTCATAACATAGACCTGTACCTGTGGCCTCATACTAAATTAACTTCAATCAGACTTTAGAATACACACAGAATTCTGGTACAGAATTTCGCAGTGTAGTTACTGCCAATTCTTCCTTTCATTTTAGGAGTCTCCGGTTTGTACTTTGTTAGGTTATGAGACCTGCAAGCATTCGTCTGGTCCTATGGCTTCCTTGGGCCCTTTCCCACAAGTGTTTGTGACACGCATCAGCAAATGATTCATCAATCTACACAGTATATGGAAACAGATCATTAAATAAGTGATCCGTCAAAAATGGATGTGCCAAAACGCTCGTAGAAACGGAACCTTAGCAAACCGTTGATTTAAAGGGAACTCTTTCGAGACAGCACGCCACCATGCGTCAAGACATATAACAGTCAAGCTCAAGACGCGATGTCTGCGGCATGACGCAAAGAAAGGAGCACGGTTGAAACGAATGAGATTATGAAAATCGGCGCACACCGGTCTGACTCATGATGCTGACGAATCACGAATGAAGCAAGACTGCGTATTTTGTCTCATGTCTTGATGCTTGTCTTGACGTAGGTAGTGTGCGGCCACCCTAAGATGGACTACAAAAGTGTGGTCTGCCGTAAGCGCTGCTAGTAAAGGAGTCTCGGTCTCTAGAAAACGGAGGGACGTTTCCCAGAAGAAACCAAGACAGCTTGTGTCCACATCCTTCTGGTTCACCAATTATAATCACTACTACTTCTTCCATTCAATGTTATACGTGATAGAATGTATTCAGTTGATAGAAGGTCATTAAAGAAGCCTCGAAAGAAAGAGTTGGTGTTCGGAAAGATGGAAATAATGTCATACTTACCAAACGAGTAGCAGTTTCTCATTGTTAAATTCCAACTTAGGCTAACAGATTTCTTCATGGCTCTGTCAGTTCTTGTTGAGTCGAGTGCTGTGTGCTCAAGCGCCGATCTGGAAGCAAACCCGCTGGAAACAAAAAAGTGAATAATCAACACCTCATACAATTCTAGGTATGAATGTCATTGCAAATTTTTGTAAGTTTCGCAATCATTTCTGAGCGGTTATATTCTCGTGATTTCGTTTTATGATTCGGGTTTAAGGGTCAGATTTTATATATTCTTCCTAAATAAATTTATTATTATGAAAACAATTCGTGGATATTATTGTCACGTGTTTCAGTGACTACGACGTGGATTGGTGAATCGGTTTATTGGATCTTCCCTAGTCGTAACTGCAATTAGTTCTTATACCCTCAAGGTTACTGTAACTACAGCACACGTAACGTCACACACTAAGCCTTCTAATTCTTCTTCTGGCCACACTATTGTTCCCTTGGAACTTCGGAACTCAAGCCCAGTCAATTCCAAGTCAAAGCCAAAGTCACATTGCGACTAACGGTCAGTCAGTCAGTAAGTCTTGATGTCGAGCACCATCTGGGGCTCACGATCATATGTTAATTATTACCGTTTGACATTTACAGTCTTGTTTTTGTGTGGCGCCATCTCTGACGAGAGGACCGGTCTGTCTTTTCCATATGCTGCTGGCCCTTGCCAGCGCGGTCTTTCTTGAGTCCGAGTCCCTTGGGATTCGAGACCTTATTTTACTGTCTCAGATTTGAGACTTCCCTTTTCGTCGCCTCCTACGACTCGCAGGGTCACGGTGGGGGTATTCGACCGCGCCTCCGCACGGGGGAAGTCAATTCCCATTCCCGTTTTTTCTCATATCCTCTCGGCACGCGACCACGCACAGAAAACACAGTTCTAGTGTTGCGTAGCGCAGATCACACAGAAAACAAGACACGTGATAGCTATCTCGCCCGTCCATTGGCGCGCTGGTTATTGTCTAGCATCGAGCTCTAAACATTCGTCCTATTGTTGTGTGACCTTAAGCAAGAAGGTGTTTATAACGCCGTTGCCTGGCTCTACATGTTACAATATTTAAACTAGGCCTGTCTTCTTATGTTTTCTGTTTAGGCTCACTTTCATTAGCTTCAATCCTTCTGTAGTTATCACATATTCATTTTTATATTTTTAATTAATTAATTAAGTACAAGGAAAATTTTAACTTTACCATTAATAGCATTTGGTGGCAGCGTTTTTCACACTGTGGTACCGGTAATCCTAATGGTAAGAAAGATTCTTACCAGAAGTACCACAGTCGTAATTTTCGGAATACCCCTGAATAATATTGTAGGGGGGCATTGCCTTTATTCTGAATCGATTTTGGGATTATGGCCTGATTTATTGGACTCTTTGATACAGCGGTGACCGTATTTTAAGGTTTACAGTTGGTAACAGTAACAGTGTTACACACACACACACACAGTAGTGCCACAGTCATGTCTTCACTGTCGTTGCTTGGTAGCGGCTTCCAACAGCGGACGTTCCCCTTCCTCCGTGTTCCCGAACTGTCCCCGGCCTCAGCTACCAGCTTCTAACAGAAACAGCTCGCAACGACTGAACCGCAGCGGCTCTCTAGCTCGCTGACTCGCCAACCAACTCAGTCAACAGCTAACTGGCACGGACGGCACAGAAAGCACCTTTCCTCTGTTGCTGTTAATGAGTTGTTGCCTAGTAACGGCCACTGTATAGTTGCTTATTTCGGTAGATAGAAACGCGTCTATATGCAACCATAATACTCATATTACAGATATGCAGCTAGGCATTGTTTCTGGCAGTTTATGATAAGGGCACTTGCAAATTAAGTTGCGTATTTCGAAGTCGCTCTTAGTTCTACGGGGTTGGGATATTCGTTGAACTGTTTCATGTGGTATGACGCACGAACAGATTGAGAAACATTGCTTCGTAACAGTGACGGATATATTTGTCATGAGAGAACTGCGCAATACACCAAATAATTTAATGTGTTTTGAAATCAAACTCACATCCTTCCGCTTATTAAAACGATACGGCACAAGTTTCATCTCTCTGCGATTGTATTCTCAATCTGATGGTATTTACGAACTGAATCTTGTTTCCGAAATTCTAAGTGAGGATATCAAGTTATATATGGATGTTTTCCTACCCTGAACAAGGAGGCAGCATGCGTCTTCATGAAAGCTGTCACAAACCCACCGCACCGAACGGTTCCATGAGGCAGGAACCCGCAATGCGAATCTTCGTCGCGGTAAAAACCTGTCAAGATCCGGCCCCCTTGCAACAGAATTGTTTTGAAGGCACCAAATAAATTCGAAACCGAAATTATAAAATTTACACAAATCGAGCCAGGTTTTAGAAGGCATACAAAAAAGTATAATCTACAGAGCAAATCGGAGTTTAAACAGACGTCCAACAGATTCACAAAATCCGGGCAGAAATCTTTACCCTAAACCCGTTCAAGCCAATTCAGTTCCCTATAATTCTATTATTTAGGTCTCCCTAATATAAATTCTGCCTGTCAGGGTAGCCGAGCGGTCTAAGACATGTACTGTCTTCGCTCGCTCGGAAGCCGGGACCGTGGGTTCGAATCCCACACAAAACATTAATGTTTGGTGTGTGTATGCTTTCATTCTGTGTTTGTGTTGCCCTGTGTTTAGGTAGAGGACTTGCGACGGGCTGATCAACAGTCCAAGAGATCCTACAGTCTCTAAAATGATCATGAAACTGATAAATCAGCCCTGTGCTCCAGTGTGCGAGGAAGAGGAAAGAAAAACAAGATAAATTCTTGTATATTCATCTCGCACTCCTACATAATCCGAGCAGACTCACTGCTTGAATTTTCCAAACGGAAATATCGAATGTATTTCTGATTTATCGATACGTTACTTGTGTTCCAACAATTTCAGCCTCCCCTGTTTAATTGTTTTGAATGTCACTCCTTATCTGCACACTTTCTAGCTCTTGGATGCTCAGATAATGCCTTAGCAATTCTCTTCAGAATGAGAGGAAAAGTTTCACATCCCTACGAATTAACTGCTGAATATTTAGATATGTTGGCCAATACCCCTCCACGAGGACTATCACCTTATCGTGGAGACGAGGTTTGCGCGCCCTAATGACCCGGAGAGCTATGCTGGCGGCAGCGTAAACTCCTGGTAAAGCCACCTATGTCCTCCAAGCTGGGGGTTGGGCGTGCGGCTAACGAACCCCCACTGGGAATATTCACTGTCAGGAAACAATGGAGGAGGCCAAGACCCATGCAGGGTTTCAACGCCAGTAAAGAACAAGGAGAAAACCCCTATAGCCTGTTTTAACCCCCCACAGTTCAGTGGTTTAATATGTACCACTTACTTTAACCTATCAAAACTCTACATTCTTCATTACAGATTGCATTTTAGCGTCCATTTTGGTTCTCACAATAAACATCGATTATTTTCCTAATCATTAACCGATGTATCTTACTGGCGGACAGCTAAGGAGTTTCGTTTAGGCTATGAAATGAATTCTTTGTGTTTTATAGGGTTAACCTGAGAATGCAGGGCACGAGGTTACTGCTAATATCACGTTAATCTAGGATATGATGCCAAATAATAGATGGGTAACGACTTTTCGGAGGAATCCTTCTCCTGCAACCCTAAAGATGAAAGCAGGAGGTTCCTCTGAAGTCTTAGTATTTAACTACACGGCGTCATGCACCAGAATACCGCGATATTAACCCCTTAAATCCCAGTGGCCACTGTGTGTACCACTTGCTTTACCATTCTACCCACTGGGTGTGTGACTCGCATGGCTCTAACAATAAACAGTTTTCTCCATTCCCTGAGCAGCGCTTACAGACTGATTCCTGTAGCGGGGACGCGATGTGTTTCCTGTGAGGTACGAACTGAAATTCTATATAGGCCTACTATTTAAAGACAATTCATTCTTCAAATGGTTATATTCGCCATCATGAGAACCTCAGATCTTATACAGGTTAATGTTACTCTGTGTAAACAAGCATATTTTTAGATCCAAAAATATTAATTTTCCTGTTAAGCGAATTTTAACTTAAATGTCCACACTGCGCCTACCTCAGTGCAGCCCGCAGAGCTCTCTCCACGCACAGCTTCCTCCGGCTCTCTCTCAGCAGATACTGGTGTTTACTGCAGCTCCTCTCCGTTTCAAGATGTGTTAACCAATAATGGCAAGAGCTCCTAAAATACACTTAGATACCCCTTCACTTTTCCTTCTCTTTCTGTGAACCATAAGTATAAGAGGTGTGAACGTGGGATGTGCGTTAGGGTCAAAGCATTGGTACAGTCTCGCGAGAAACAACGTGACATGCTCAAAAGAAAAAAAAGATACGTTACAAGAAATGTTACGATCTCTACCTGTATAACTGGCGCAAGTTCTACATCGTTAAAACAAAAGGGCAGTTTATTGGGTTTAATCCCGACTGGGACATACATAATTGTTCCGTCACTAACTATTTTTATGTATTATCAAGTGTATGTGTGACTATAGACGGGGTTTGGGAATACATATCGGATTTATTGACCACTTTCAGGTCGTAACTAGAAATAACTATAACACTATCGCTATTGCCATACATAAAAAAATCACGCTGTCTTTTCCAGCCCGCAATATCTTCACTAGTAGTTGCCTGGTGACAGTTTCTAACAATGGCTATTTCTCTTTTTCCGAGCTCAAGGCATCTCTAAACAGCGGCTCCCTTCCAACGGAACTATTCTTACTTCAATTGTCCTCCTTATAATCCCTTTCCAGTTAAGGAGTACAAAAGAATTTCCAAAAGTACCTCTATTGTTGCACGCGTATTCGTTGCCGCGAGAACGTGTTTATCGAGCAGTTGCCTAGAAACGGCTCTACACGCTACAGTATTATGTCTCCACGGTCGGATTTACAATTGTGCGGCCCCTGTACAAATCCAGTTTATGACATTACTAATTGCTTATAATAATTGCAATGCAAATATTTTAAAACCAAAATGTCTCATTAAAATCTTTGGATTCTATTTCTCTTTTGTAGAGGTCCCGGGGGGCAGCCCTGGTCACTCCTACTTACACTCGGCTCTGCACGTTTTATGCAAGC